GGGAAGTCATTGCAATGGAACAGAGAATACCTGATAGGAAGGCAACAGCGAGTCATAGTACGTGACGAGTTGTCGGAATGGGCGCCTGTGACGAGCGGAGTTCCACAGCGGTCAGTTCTAGGACTTAAGAACATAAGAACATAAGAAAGAACACTGCAACAGGCCTACTGACCCATACAGAGCAGGTCCATGTCCCCCCCCCGAATAGCCCAATGACCCACCCAGTCTGGTCACCTCCACTCAAGGAACGAGCACGGCACCAGACCTAGCAGCACAAGCTAGTCAGGTCCACCTCACATCCTCCCACACCCACTCATGAATTTATCTAACCTATTTTTAAAACTACACAACGTTTTAGCCTGAATAACTGTACTCGGGAGTTTGTTCCACTCATCCATAACTCTATTACCAAATCAGTGCTTTCCTATATCCTTCCTGAATCTGAATTTTTCCAAATTGAAACCATTGCTGCGAGTCCTGTCTTGGCTGGAAATTTTCAGCACGCTATTTACATCCCCTTTATTTATTCCTGTTTTCCATTTATACACCTCGATCATATCCCCCCTAATTCTACGCCTTTCGAGAGAGTGCAGCTTCAGGGCCCTCAGTCTATCCTCATAGGGAAGATTTCTGATTCATGGGATCAACTTTGTCATCCTCCTCTGTACGCTTTCCAGAGCATTTATATCCATTCTGTAATACGCAAACTAGAACTGAGCAGCATAGTCTAAATGAGGCCTAACCAAGGATATATAGTTGAAGAACAACCTGAGGACTTCTGTTAATTATACTTCTAGATATGAAGCCAAGAATTCTGTTAACTTCATCGCGAACACTAATGTATTGTTGTCTTGGTTTTAGATTACTGCTAACCAGAACTCCAAAAATTTTTTTGCAGTCAGTAGTATTAAGATCTACATTATTTAGTTTATGTGTCGCATGGTTATTTTCCCTTCCAACATTTAGAACTTTGCATTTGTCTATATTAAACTGCATCTGCCACTTCTCCGACCAATGAATCAGTCTATTCAAATCATCATGGAGTGCTCTAGTGTCCTCATCAGAATGAATTGGAAGGCCTATTTTGGTGTCATCAGCAAATTTGCTTATGTCGCTATTTATTCCCTCATCTATGTCGTTTATGTAAATTGTGAACAACACCTGTATCAAGAAAGTCACTAGACTCAAGATTTCCTGTTATATTGTTTCAATCAATTTGTCTAAAGTTAAAATCTCCCATTATCACAACATTTTCATATCTAGATGCCTTATGAATTTCGTCCCATAACAGCTTACTGCACTCCCTATCAAGGTTTGTGGGCCAATAAATCACACCCAAAATTAATTTGTCACGACCCAGGAGAAACTGTAGCCAAACAAGTTCTGTGTTCGATGTTTCTAATCTCTTATCATGTTTAAGACAACAATTTAAAGTTTCTCTGACATACATCGCCACTTCACCCTTCCTGTTGACCCTATCACTGTGGAATAGTTTATAACCCTGTATGTTGCATTCACAAGGCATATTTCTATCTTTCAGGTTGAACCAGATCTCTGTTATACCAAATAATATGTATATTACCTACACTTGAAGGTAATCTTAGCTCATCCATCTTATTTCTCAGACCCCTACTATTTGTATAATAAACCTTAAGGGAGCTAGTCACTTGTTGCCCTCTGCTATCTCTCTTTGTTTGTTGATCAATTGATTTGCCATTACTAGCAACTTTATTTTGAATATTGTATTTTAAACATATCCCTGAGGTATCCCGGTAATAACTCCTGTTTTTAACCCTTATACTGCATCCTGATTGTTTCCCATAAACACCCATAAATCTATTATCTGTCATTTGAAATTCTTAGACAAGTCATCAATTACCCTCTCAATCGAATTGGCTAATGCAACCACTCCATCCCCAGAGAGATGAACCCCATCCCTTGCATACATATCACGTTTGCCAAAGAATAGGTCCCAGTTAACAATGAATGGGATTGCAAGTTCCTTGCAGTACCTGTCTAGCCAGCAATTTATACCAATTGCCCTAGACATCCATTCATTGCCCACTCCCTTTCTAGGCAAGATGCTACATATGACTGGGATCCCTCCCTTAGACCTAACTACTTCTATGACTGACCTGTACTTATCCAGCAGCTCCTGTCTCCTGCCCTTCCCAATGTCATTACCCCCAGCACTAAGACAGATAATGGGCTTGTTCCCATTACCTGACATAATATTATCCAACCTGCTGACTATGTCACCAACACCAGCTCCTGGGAGGCACACTCTCTGTCTGACCTTTCTGTCTCTGTTACAAAAAGCACGGTCCATATATCTTACCTGAGAGTCTCTCACAATCAGCATATTCATACCTTGATTAACAGGGGAGTCATAGGTACCTTTAACCTCACTAACCACTTAAGTACACTCGTCTTGGAGAACAGAGAATCTATTTCCTACCTTCACATATTCTTTATTAACCCTCTTTATCTTCCTTCTTCCTGAACTGTGACCCACTTGCCACTTAAAGCGGCTGCCACAAGCCATGATGCTTGGAAACAGCCCACGCTAACTCCCAAGAGCTTAGGCAGGTATGACCGCAGGTAACCACTGACCTCAGCGTACTGAGAGAGAAAGAGAGAGAGAGAGTGAGAGAGAGAGAGAGAGAGAGAGAGAGAGAGAGAGAGAGAGAGAGAGAGAGAGAGAGAGAGAGAGAGAGAGAGAGAGAGAGAGAGAGAAAAGAGAGAGGGAGAGAGAGAGAGAGAGAGAGAGAGAGAGAGAGAGAGAGAGAGAGAGAGAGAGAGAGAGAGAGAGAGAGAGAGAGAGAGAGAGAGAGAGAGAGAGAGAGAGAGACAGAGAGAGGAGAGGATGTTGCAGGAAGGCTGGATCTCATATTCACCTTGAACAGTTCAGACATAGGGGATATCACAAACGAAAGACCCCTTGGCACTAGCGAACACGACGCCCTGAATTTTGAATACAATGTAGAGTTAACAGTGGTGAATGCAGCAACACGAGAATGACGGGATAACTAAACTTCAAAAAAGGCGACTACATAGGAATAAGGAGTTTCTTGCATGAAATACAGTAGGAAACAGAACTAGAGGGAAAGACAGTAAATGAAATGATGGGACGAGTGACCACTAAGTGCAGGGAGGCAGACGAGAAGTTCATACCAAAGGGTAACAGAAAAAATGGTAAGACCTGAATGAGCTCATGGTTTAACTGGAGACGTAAAGAGGACAAAGGCAAGTGTGCTAGAGGAGAGAGAGAGTACAGAAGGCAAAGGATTCAAGAAAAAAGGAGTTGAGCAGAAGAACCAGAAACTAATATACAGGGTTAAGGAGAGAGGCCCGGAGGCAATACGAGACTAACATTGCATCAAAAGCAATGTACAAGTCTTTATAATTATGATTCAGGACCAGAAAGGAAACAGAATTATAAAATTAGGCATGAAACACATTGATTGCCAACCTCCAGAGAACAAATGACGTCACTTCTTGTGATATCATCTTTTATCCGGTCGAGACCAAAGCTTAGATCATAGTTTGATTATTTTATTACAGTTATTATCTGGACTAGGAAAATACGGGAAATAGAAGAAGCAAAGTAACCACGTAACCGATGCAAGAATACTCAGAGATCATTGATTTTTAAACAAGTTTACTGTTAAGTTTTACATATTCTCTCATATTAACAAATAATTTTTGATCATTATGTGCATAAATGTAAAATGCACCAAATTTGTGGAATTTTTTTATTATTTTTCGAGTAATTTGTGTAATAACTTAAAGGAATAACAGAGTTTATATAAAGTAGTGTAGGAGTGTATCTTTACCGCGACTTTTGAAAGGCATTAAGTCACATGAGAACCTAAATTCTCAACAACTTCCTTATTTATTGTATTTAGTTAATTAAGTAAAATGTAATCAGTGTAATTTAGAGGAAATTAATATTCTTACAAGGAAAATTTATTACACACTTGGACTTATCTCAAAATTTAAATAGATGCGTGTGTGTATAAGATAAACCTTTGGGGCCTCGGAAAATATGATAGAACATAAACATTGAGTGTTGGAGGATTGAATCACAGGTCATCGAGGGCGAGAGAAAGAGTATCGGCAAATATTGATGACCATGAAATAAGTGAATATAACGTGTATCAGGAAGGGTCCAGGTATATAGTGAAACTATCAAAATAAAATAAGGGTGATTTGAATGAAAAACAGGTGTTACTGGAGATTTTACATTGAATGTCATATGTATAATCAATGTACGTCTCCTAATGTGTATTACAACTCACATAGCAGGTAAGATAGCTAGTTATTGGTCAATATTAATTACTATCCTGTAGGGAGGCATTAGGATATGACACCAAGACGATAATTTGGTAAGATATATTACCTGTTTTTTTGTATTGGGACTTCGTAATTCATATTTTTAATTATTTGTAAAATTATTAATAATTTCACAATTATATAGGAAAACTTCATAGACTCAATAAATTACATGAAACAAGTCACATAGCTTCATTCAATCATCTTTCATGTATAGTCACCTAAATAAACCAAGTTTAACTGGCTTAAATTTTCATAATAAACATTCAGGAACAATATGTTCCTAATCTAAGTTCGCGAAGTTAAATTGGGCATCTGAGACGGAGGGGAGTGAAGGAGGGACAGTGCCACATTGTTACTTAAGTGCCACATTGTTACTTAAGTGCCACATTGTTACTTAAGTGCCACATCCCTCCAAGATACATCTGTATCAGTACGTTAATAACTGTTTTAGATGTGTCAGAGTTCTCTCCAGATATGTGGGTCTTAACATTCCAGACTGTGTGCTTGTGAAATTCACCCATATAATTTCTTACAAAACTAATATGTTTGTGTTGCAGTGAAGGAGCATATTGAAAGAAACTTTTATACTAATACTTTTTCTTTGAAAGATAAAGCATGCATGTTTTCTGTTAAGCTTAGATGATATTTCTTGCCTCCTGTAGGATGCATAGGTCTGGAGGAGTCACCAGAAAGATGATGCTGAAGTTACTGTGGCTGCTGATGTTGTTATTGGAGGTAGGAATCTCGCAAGAGTTTACCAACACTTCGTCAACAGTTTACCAACTCTACGCGGAAAATCAAAGCTGTGGTACAGTTTTCAAGAGTACCACAGTGTTCTCCGTTGTCTCCTGTGCTCTGATCTGCACTCCAGGTGATACTTTCCTTATTCCTGCTTGATTAAAATATATATTTTTTCCTAAAATGAATGAAGCCTTATCTATTTTCTGATTAAATTCTATTTCTAATTTATATCTGATGCTACAAAATTTAGTATAGTCCCTCGTGCTTTTTGAAACCTGATCCTTGAAGCAAGAAGAATTAAAATATCTGAATGAAAATAAATTTTTAGAACACATTTCGAAGTATATAGGACCATTATCACTCTAAGTGAAAGAAAGTGAGTAGATGTATAAGATAAGATAAGATAGTATTACTAATATGACACTTTGTAGAAGTTCCAGATAACTCATATAAATAAGTAGTAACTATAGGTAAAGATGGAAAAAATACGTAATTATTTATATATTGAGATAATAACTGAAGTAGAAACATGAATAAAATTTAAACTGAATCAAAGATGGAAAATTAAAATAAACAAACGATACGCAGCTGCTAAAGTATGGTAGACACAGTATGGATTCCCGGCTGTTAGAAATCGTACCCAGACTGTTAGATCTATTCTACCTCCAAAAACGTCTTATCTAAGTGGAATCACCCAAATAATTTATTCTAAAAAAAAGAATTAAATTTTACACTACGTTTCCTGAACAGTATACTGTAAACTTACCAATTTTATTATTGGTTGGTAGACAACAACCATCCAGAGAAGTACTACCATCCTGTGGTACAAGGATGATAGACAACAACCATCCAGAGAGGTACTACCATCCTGTGGTACAAGGATGGTAGACAGCAACCACTTAGGGAGGTACTACCATCCTGTGGTACAAGGATGGTAGAGAGCAAGAGGTACTACCATCCTGTGGTAGTAGGTTGGTAGACAACAACCATCCAGGGAGGTACTACCATCCTGTGGTAGTAGGCTGGTGGACAACAGCCATCCAGGGAGGTACTACCATCCTGTGGTACAAGGATGGTAGACAGCAATCACCTAGGGAGGTACTACCATCCTGTGGTGGTAGGTTGGTGGACAACAACCATCCAGGGAGGTACTACCATCTTGTGGTAGAAGGATGGTAGAGAGCAACCACTCAGGGAGGTACTACCATCTTGTGGTAGTAGGTTGGTAGACAACCATCCAGGGAGGTACTACCATCTTGTGGTAGAAGGATGGTAGAGAGCAACCACTCAGGGAGGTACTACCATCTTGTGGTAGTAGGTTGTAGACAACAACCATCCAGGGAGGTACTACCATCTTGTGGTAGAAGGATGGTAGAGAGCAACCACTCAGGGAGGTACTACCATCTTGTGGTAGTAGGTTGGTAGACAACCATCCAGGGAGGTACTACCATCTTGTGGTAGAAGGATGGTAGACAGCAACCACTCTGGGAGGTACTACCATCCTGTGGTAGTAGGATGGTAGACAGCAACCACCCAGGGAGGTACTACCATCCTGTGATAGTAGGATGGTAGACAGCAACCACTCAGAGACGTACTACCATCCTGTGGTATTAGGTTGATAGACAGCAACCACCCAGGGAGGTACTACCATCCTGTGGTGGTAAGTTGGTAGGCAGGAACCATTCAGGGAGGTACTACCGCCCTTCCAAATGCGTCTTAAACGGAAACCTGTCGTTGTTTTACACAATGGTAAGATTGCTGGTGTTCCTTACTTTCTGTCTAATAAACACACACGAAAACAGGTGCGTCTTGCTACTTCTACCACTTTGGCACACGAGTATATATACACAAAAATCTGAATTGTTTTCTATTATTTAAATAGTTTTTGTTCTAATCTAGTCCCTTCCATCTCCACGAGGATGTGGCAAAAATCTTTCCTACTAAGAAGCGGTTAACATGCCATGAACAATTTGCTAGTTACCCTTTTTCCTGTATAAGTTACTAAAAATAAGAAAAACTTTATGAGATTGGGATGTTTGAATGTTGTTGATAAGAAAGAGATGATTGCCAATGTTGTGAATGAAAAGAAGTTGGATGTCCTAGCTTGAACCGAAACAAAGATGAAGCGAATAGGGGAGTTTCAAGGATGAGAAAAAAACTGATTAAGTCAGCAGCATCTGAGAGTAAGAGCTAAAGAATGGGTAGCAATAATATTAAAGGATCTGTTATGGAAGGAGAAGAGGCAATATAAATGTATAATTCTAGAATTAAGTGGATTAAAATAAGGATCAGATGCCTAAAGTGAGTTATAATAAGTGTTTTTGCACTTGGAGAAGAGAGAGTGTAGAGAAGAGAGATTTTGAGAAAAGTTAAATAAGTGTTTAGGAAAAAAAACTCCAGACTCTCTGATCGCGGTTTCTATCCCCTCCCGTGGTATGGCTTGTTTGCAATCGTGCTATTAGGATTTCTTGAGTCAAGTGTTTAGGAAGTTTTGAACTAAGTGAGAGGGTAATTAAAATAGGGGATCCGAATGCTAAAGCCGGAAAAACGGTTATAGACGGTGTGGTAGGTAAGGGTAAGTGGGGTGCCAAGTGTAAATGAAAATGGAGGACCTTTGACTGAACTTTGGGAAGAAAGGTGTTTGGTAATAGGTAATACATATTAAAAAAGTGATAAATAAGTATAGAAGATATGATGTAGGCATAATGACAGTAGTTTGTTGGACTATGCATATTAGATAAAAGGCTGGTGAGTAGAGTTCAGAATGTGCATGCTTATAGAGGGGCCACAGATATATCAAATCATACTTTAGTTGTAGCTACAGAAAGAGTAAAAGGAAAATGGGATGCACGAAGAATGGCATCAGCAGATGAAAGAGAGATGAAGGTTTTTAAGCTAAAAGCGGAGGCAGTTAGGGCAAAATATAAAAAGAAACTAATGGAATAAAGATGGGCTAGTAAGAATATAGGTAATGAGGTTTGAAAGGTATAGAGTAAATTTAAAAATTTAGTGTTAGAGTGTTCAGCAGAAGTTTGTGGTTACAGGAAAGTGGGTGCAGAAGGGAAGAAGAGCGATTGGTGGAATGATGATGTAAAGAGAGAAAGTGTTAGTATATGAAAGGTTTTTACAAAGTTGAAATGGTACAAGAAGGGAAGAGTATATGGACAGATAAGATTTGAGGTTAAGAGTGTGGTGAACGAATGTAAAAGGAGAGCAAATGAGAGAGTGGGTGAGATGCTATCAACAAATTTTACTGGAGATTAATATGCTGAGAAAGCCTAGGAAACGAATTGATTTGACAGTTAAAAATAGAAGAGGACAGTTATTAGATGGAGAGTTAGAGGTATCGGAAAGATGGAGGGAATATTTTGAAGAACTGTTAAATATTGCTGAAGATATTGAGGCTTTTATTCTGTGCACTGGGCATGGAAGTAAAACATTTTGTAGGAGTGAGGAAAAGTCACTTCTGAGTGTTATGAAGGCACATGAGGCATTTGGTAAAATGGAAGGGGTTAAAGCAACTGCAATTGATAGAATAAATGGCTTGTAAAGTGCAGTGGGAATCCGAAATGATCACTAACGCCGAAAGAGACATACATGTAATAAGGAGAAGAGTTATGGGGATGGTACACAAGTCGGCGGTAAAAATACTAGCTGAGTCTAACAAATGACTCCGGGCAACATCGTCAGGGAACACTGCCGCGAACCCAACACTGTCAGAAGATTTAGAGCCATCTGTAAAAGCAACAACGGCACGAGTATGCGACCGGTAGTGATCAAGAAAAAGAGAGTGAGAAGCAGCCGTAGGTATGAGAGCTTTAGCACACGGCAGTAGGGGAGAACAGACACGAACCGTCGGAACATCCCAAGGGGGAAGGGAAAAGGCAGACGCTACATGAACATACATGAGAGGCAACTGGAGTAAAGACCGGAGTGAGTGATGAAGAAAAAACAGACTGAGGAAGCAGGGGCACCGATCAAATAATGGTCTTTTACTAACGTCTGAGACCAATCTATCCGTAGAAAGAACACGAAAATCATGAGCCTCTTCACAGAGGCTTTCAATACGGGATGAACGAAAGGCACCAAGGTATAAACGCAAACCTTGACGATGAAGGGGATCTAGCTTTGAAAAAGTTGCAGGAGATGATGCAGAATAGACTTGGTTGCGATAATCCAGCTTCTACAAGACTAGCGCAAAATGCAAACAAAGGAGAGTCCGGCGATCTGCCCCCCATGAGCAATGCGCAAGAATTTTAAGGAGGTTCAGCCGACCATGACAGACTGCATTCAAAGAGGAAATGTGAAATTTCCCTGTCAACTGGCGATTGAATAGGCCAAGAAACTTGACCGTATCACATTCCGGTATACGTGAGCCTTGTAAATACAATGAAATGTCTGGCCAAGAGGACGTCTAGTGAAAGTAATAAAATGGGTTCTCGCACAAGAAAATTTAAATGCAAGAGAAGGCGACCAATGGTAAACACGGTCAATCGCATCCTGTAGAGAGGCGACAGTTAGCGTCTGGGTAAGCTATAGTGAAGTCATCCGCAAAATGCGATGACCAAACTTGTGATAGATGAACGGACGGTAGGTCATTTATTGCCAAGAGAAAAGGGATAGTGCTAAGGACACAACCCTGTGGGACTCCCTTATCCTGAACCAATTCTGAGGAAAGCGAAGCGCCTACACGGAGGCCTAAGGAGTGAGCCTAGGCTAAGATATTATACCTCCAATTGGTGTCATATGCCTTCTCGAGATCATAAAAACACTGCCAGGACGGAGTGTTTATTAGCAAAGACAATTCGCAAGTGGAGCAAACGATCCAAAGCAGAGTGGCCCTTGTGAAAGCCACATTGGTGAGAAGAAAGATTATCGCAAGTTTCCAAATACCAAATCAGACATCTGTTCACCAATCGTTCCATCACTTTGCAGACTATACTGATCAGAGCAATGGGAAGATAGTGAGAGGTATCAAGCCCCAAAGTGAATGGCTTGCGAAGTGGTAGTACCATGGCAGATTTCCATTGTAGAGGGAGAACCCCTTGCGTCCAAATAAGATTGAAAAGACGCAAAAGGACTGTAAGGGCTGTAGAATGCAGATGTTGTAGCATACGCAGATGAATATCA